CCCCCAAAACCCCAAAACCCCAAAACCCCAAAACCCCTAATTACCCATTATAGGTTGACATAATTTTTTAAATATGAAGCAGTCAGTTCATTATTTACTTCCTGGCTTACCTGCCCCTCTCTTTTTGCTTTAAAGGTAAAAGAAGAAGATTTAGAGTGATGGGAAAATTGTTATTATGCTAATTTTACGCGATTATGTTCAAGGAAATGCTCTACTGCTTCGAGCATCTCTTGAGGTGTATAGTCAAAGTTTAGGCATGATTCGCTTCCTTGCATTGCTAATGCATATAGATCGTAAGTTCTAGCAGCCTCTGTCTCGTTCAAGAAGGTACCAATGTATTTCTTTACGCGGTTTACATTTATCAGCGATTGCCAATGGACGTTATTCTTAGTGACTCCAATATATTGAGACCTTCTCCCAAGGTACTTGTCGGTAGTGTACCTAGTCTTTTTTACTTTTCTGGTGAACCCAGAGACCTTGCTATCCAATAAGAGCTTTCTTAGATAGAGAAGCCTTGGCCTGATATTTAGTTTTTCTGATCGTGCTTTTCTCTTTCTGACTTTCCTGTCAATAATAGAGACTTCTTCATTCTCTTCATGTTTATTCACATCACGAGTTAACTCGACTTGAAGCATCTCGTCCAGAGCTTGAGCCTCAGTCTTAAGAGGGGGATGACTACTTTGGTCAATTTGGCATTGTCAATAGTCTTGCAGTTGATCACTATAGAAGATAATGAATATACAAGCCAACAAAATACTAAGTCTAAATTTCGGTGATTACTTACCAATAGCTATCGCTTATTTCTGGCATGTAAAATCCTGTTTCAAGTGGCCAATATATAAAGTCTGAGTAGATCTGAGTTTCAACAGGGATCTGGGTTGGGAGGCAGACACAGTATATCGCCTCTAAGTACTCAAGGATACCAGAATCATCTCAAACAGGTAGGAATTCCTGGTCATAAATCTGGGAATTATTGTATGTATTCATATTTAAAAGTATTATTATCAAATAATCTTGCCTTTTTTAAATACTTTTTGTCATGGATCGAAAGATTTTTCAGGAGGAAACTTTGATTGAAGAAGAACCTGAAATGACTTCGGATGAGAAAACAAACACTTGCACGAATTTTTATGCATAGTTTTATAAAATATTGTGAAGTATTCCTCTTGTTTGGGACTCTTTAATTTAAATGGCCTTCTCCTAGCCAGGATTGAAACATTGGAACTTATTCAGCAAGAAGTTATGAATATTAGCTATATTTCACCTAATTTCATCAGATTTCGTTCTATATTAAAGGAAATGATTGGACTAGTCTATTTTACCCTTCTGAATTATCCTAGTAAGGTAGAAACAACGAAAATCCCTCTTTTCGGCCAATTTTGATTCCTCCATTTTTAAGGAATAAGAAAAATTATGTAAATTATTACAGGAATTATTAAAGTTTTCTACAACTTTTCTGATGCTCTAAGTTGAGCTCAACACTCTAGGATCTCGGGTGTCTGTTATGATCAATAGATGAAGAGTTGAAGGCAAAGGAAAGTTCTGGAAACGCAAGGATTTTGATCTCCAGAAATTTGAAATATTTATAACCCCATTTTCTATCGAAATTAGGTGAAGCTTTTATGGTGGTGAGTATGCAATCTTGGAATTAGAGGTTATTAGTGTATAAACTTCTTATTTTGGAATGGGAGACAGATTATTGCAGTTAGGATGCATCTAATTGATTATGAGGTTAGTTTGGGTCTCCGGATTTATGCATTTGGGAGGGATACTATAACCAATAGTATTTTTGTGAATTATTATTAATTAAACCATGATAGTTTTATGAAAATGATTTAAGGCTTGATTTCCAAGTGGATACTATGAATTTTTACATTATAAAAGCTGGCTATCTCACTAATAAAATCTCCTGCTTGTATAATTCCCAATGAGCAGTATCTCCTCGGCTTAGAAGTCTGAAGTCTCTCTGGTTATTCTACCATGGTTTAATCAGCAATAATCATCCAAAGTGGCAGGTTCTTGTATGGCTCCTTCATGTGTTCTCTCTCTACTGCTGATACTCTATTTTTACTCTATTTTCTTGAGTCTTTTTATCTTTTTGAAGTCGTTTATAGTAGGAAAGTTAGCACACTGAATTCCTAATGCTAATGGAGTAATCAGGGGTGGATGGAGAACTCTGATATTTTGGTAGCTGGAGTATGACAGTTTTTGACCCTTTTTCTTTTTCATATTTTCATGCTCTTGATACTAATTTTAGGGAGATTATGAAAAATGTTGCCTTAAGAGATTGATTGTTACGATTAAAAGAGTCTTTAGGTATTCATATTTACTATTTTATGGATTTTTGTGTTTAGAAATGTGTCCCAGTTATATCCGTTTGTTAGAGACTTTGAAATATTGACATAAACAATCTTTTTGCATTGATCTAGAGATGAAAAGGCACTAAATTTTGAAACATTTTTGAATGTTACACTAAAATTCTGCTATCTCCTTGCTTTTGATATTGAGAACACTATAAATGATGAACTCTCGCATTAAATTAAGGGAAGAGCTAATAAATGAAAGCTCTGATACATTCAAAAATGCTAATTTTGAATGAAAACTCTATCAAGGACTATGTATAGAGCTTATCTGTAAAACTCTATTAATTTCTCTTAAAAACCCTGTTAAAACTACGACTTAAGTAAAAAGGAGGCTTTAAATCAAGCCAATCCTTGCTCAAATTGGCTTAGAATATCAATTTATCAGTAATCTTTTAGTATGTTTGTACAAGACCCAAGCAGAGTTCGGCCTCTAGATCTGATATCAGATTTTAAGCAGAGATGGGAGAATCTAAAATAAATAATTTATCTTGGGAATTTTATTATTCCCTTACTAATGTTATGGCTTTCAAAAATTGGGTAATGAAAAGTTTGAAAAATTAACTGTATTTTAGCCTCTGGTGAAGCAAGCTCTTGGTGAATCGCTTTATCAAGAGAATTTATGAGATTTAAGCTTCTAAAATACTTTCCCTGTGATGTTTATAAGCTAGTTCTTTTAGTAGCAGCGAAGAAAAATGTCGGCCTATTGGAATTTTGTTGCAATAGACGGAAGATTTACTTTGATTTATTGTATAATAACACTTGTAGCCGAAAAAGAAAGAAATTGTCTGCTAAATGAACATATTGATGTTTTCTTCCTTATAACCACAACACCTACTGTGTTAACATGATTAGATAAAGTCTGAATCAAAGTATGAAATGTTCAAATGGGGAAAGTCTCTAATTATTGCCTATTTCTAGCAGATTTTACCTAATTTTGCTAAAAAGTACCCTTGGAAATCTTTTTGATAACTTTGTAGGCTGACCACAACTGTTTGGGGCTTCTTGAGATCGATAAACAAGGATGAATGATCAATGTAAATTCTTTAAGAACATGTTGGAGGTGCAGACTTGGCTGTTCAGAACCCTCCAAATCTTACTGAGAAGATGGAGAAAAATTGTTCAGTACATAATCTTCAGTTGTAACAACTCTTTAAGACTTTTTAACATGTTGAGAGCTTTGGAATTGCAAATTTTGAAGTTTATCTCAGACTGGCTTATTCTCTTTAACTTTGAATACTTCCAATTTTTCGAATTTACTCCCACAAAAAGGAGTTAATAAACTAAGAACAACCAAATTGAGTTGCAACCAAAATTTATTAAAAATGTACATACTCTTCCTTAAGAAGTTTGTACTAAATTTTAGTGTGAGCAAGGTCTAAAAGAGCCTCTTAAGAAGGATTCTGTAATTATCACAAACAAATTTGCTATCAAAATAAGTTAAATTTTCCAAAAAATACTTAAATTGGTAAAATTCTCTTTTAATAATCATATATCCACAATTTATCAAAATTAGATTTTCAGCAGGATTTAAAACCCCAGGGGTTTTGGGGTTTTGGGGTTTTGGGGTTTTGGGG